GTCCGGGAAGGCTGTATTATTTAGCAGCGCGCGGTAGGTGCGAAAATTAATTTCGGTGAAATATCGGACCAGTCTTCAGGCATCTTGTGAAAAAGGTTCGACCGTTTACCTCAATCTACTCTCCACTTTCGTATTACGCGATAATAAAAATATACATATATGCAAATAAAAAAAAATCTTTTTGATCCTGTAATTATATCCTTGGTTTCTATACGCGTTTCTTAGTTTCCTATATTTATACAGACGAAAAGAGGAAGAGAGAAAGAAAGAAAGTAAAGAATCGGGAGGAAAGTAAAAGAGCTTCTCTAGGGAGCAATAGTGGCCAAATTGGGGAATCAATGTGTTACGCGGAAAAACGAAGAACGAAGCACAGCTTCTCGGTAAGGGTGAGTTACCTGGTCCGATAGAGATTCTTCGGCGTCTTTTATTGTAGATTCCTACCACGCGTACGCTTATAAATTCATGCGTAGGTCCATGCTCACAGGATACGCATGCTATAAAGAATAAAAGCTAGATCGACGATCGCAAACGCACTTTAAGAAGAGTGCAGTCTGCGACACGCTTTCACGCTCGTCGCCAAATAATTCAACGGATTGCTTCGTTTCAACTAGAAAGCGTGAAGATGGATATTAATCAAATGATTTCTTTTTCATATATTAGAATATATTTGAATGTGCAATAGCGTGCATCGAATACGTTTAAAATGCGACAAAATTGACGCCAGGAATTAAGAGAGGAAAGTAATGCGAAGAAGGGAGAATATTATGCGATACAGATTTTATAAGTATTATTAATTGGCTTGTATTAATTTTTAATTTTAATTTAATATTTCTGCTGGAGTTTTCCACTTGATAACTGAATACATAGCTTAGTTTTAAATCTTACGATTTTAAATTATATTGTGAAATTTCGACTTATTTCGTTTTACGTCTAAGCAACTGAAATATATTCACTTTGAATACTTCAAAGGTTTTATTTGTAAAAATCTTTTATGGAGAATTCTCTTGTATCTGGAATTTTCACATTTCCTGCTTTGTGTTAAGAATGTGGAACAATTCACGTTCCAATATTCGAATGACTTTTGTTCCTTTAAGAATATTTCTAGTATCTCTGTCCTTTTATATCATTTTAACCATATTTTGTTTGTTGTTACAATAATTTCACGTCGAAATGACAAGTTTGCAGTGAAGATAATAGTAAAATAACAAAGAATTTTTGTTTCCAAGAGTGCCTGCGCTATCTCCCGATCTATTGCTAAAAATCCATTCAGTATCTCTCGCCTGTTATTCTTCTACTTCATCTCTTGACACGTCTGATGTGAATCGATGCATTTTGATTAGAAACTATTTTCACGTGCACTTCGGAGCGAAGCAGCCCCGAGATGCTTGAACTTGGCAGACGAGAAAATGTGTCGTCGAGTGTTTCCTCTGTGAGAGGAAGTCTTGATCATTGATCTGGCTCCTTCTTTTATACTTTGCCCGGGATAGCGCACGGAAGCGTGCACGATGAAATTCGCCGGGGAATGTTATACCAAGCGCGGTCTCGCTGGAAATTGTGTTTCGCTGTTTGTTCTTCCGTCCGTTCGGGAGCTGACATTAATTTAACCTCGTACGAGGTATGTCTAAAAAGTTCCGCCAACGCGAGCGCGAAACAAAGACAGATGACGTTTGCAGAACTGAATTCTTACCTCGCTCAGCCTCGCTGTAACATTTCACAGTATGTGGTACTTGGAAAGAGAAATAATACAAGTGTCAAATAAAAATGTTCCTTTGTATCGCGCACGAATATTGAGCGAATTTAGATCTTATAAACACGCAGATACTCAAAATAATTTTATTCCGTATAATTATTCCGTATAATTCCGCATAATTATTAATTTATGTATTATAAAATAATGGAAAAAGGCAAGTTTATATTTTTTTCTTCAAGATAGCAAGAAGCGTCCAATTTACAAATTCATTATTTAATATCAAGAGTCTCAAAAAGCACTTAATCTTGTCATCAGTTTATCCGTTTTTGGATAATTTAATTAGTTTGAATCGGGACTTTTGTATTTCGTATAAGTAATAAAGTCAGTGGAAGTGTGACATATTCAACAGTTTTATTCTATTTATCGTGTCGTTACAATTTTCTGCTCTCACTTTCTAAACAGACATTCCTAACGAACTGCCGTTTGAAAACATTACACGTACGTTTCAAAAGTACGATACATTATTCGCGTCCTTGGATCTCTTACAGTTTTTCTTCCCTTTCACTTACGTGCTTACTATAATCCCTCACAATATACTATAATTCTCAAAATTGTTTAAATCTTTAGTGATATTAGATCCTACAATTACTCGAATTTGCTTGGAAGTCTTATATCGCGCGTCTTCTCGAGAGACGATGCTCATGGGGAATAAAAAGATTGAAAATGAGATGGCGGGATCGAAAATTGTCGGTTTCGAGATACGACAATGGTCCGTCGGTGAGAACTGGCAATTTCTCAGTTCGGCGAACTGCCTGTGGAAAATTGAGGAACTATTTTCGCGCGTGGTACCGTCACCCCCGTCGCGCACCAATGGTAGCACAATACACCTCCGTCGATTCCGCCACGACCGTGGGCAGGATGTATCGGCGCGATAGCGTCGCTCGCCACTATCGGCGGGACATTTCGTCGACTTTTTTGTTGTATCAGGTGAAATATAGACTCGACACTTTATAGAACATACGCGAATTTAATGACTCCGCAGAGAGCGAGAAGTAATTTTCCGCCGATTTTCCGATCGGACCTTTAGGAGACGCTCGAAGGATATCCGTCGCGTTTGCACTAAATAACTTCGTGAAATGGGGCTCGTAGCGTAGATGAGTCGACGAGTTTAATTCCGATACTTCGGACGGAAGAAACATGTCCTCCTATCGAAACAGGACAGGCGGCTAGCAATCTTGAAAAATTACACACATCTGACTGATTTTTAAAATAGAGCAATATATTGTCTTTAGAAATAAATTTAGTATATTCTGCAGCTATATCTTTTTTTTTTTAACCTTTAATTCTCGCGTTGAAAATATTTCTGACTTTTCAATATTCGAGAAGCATTTTTAATTAAAGTTAATGAATTAATGCAACACTTTATACAGTCTCACACGTACATTTTATTAATAATAAGATGCTTTCTTACGAGCTGTTCGGGCTGGATCGTAGTTTCCACCCTATAGGTGGTGAAGCTATCGTGTCGTTTTGCAACAGACCGTATACGCGACGTACATGCGCGTCACGACATTTGGCAATTACCTCGGCATGTACGAGCACTCGATACGCGCTGTATGACGTCGCCCGGTGTGCCCGTGCGAATACTCGTGCGGGAGGACAAGCCATAAACGGTATAAGCGGCAACGAGCGGCGCACTAAAACGCGTCCCGAGACGCGTTTCGACTGTTGAACATCTAATGCATCGGGAGTTGCCTAGCAGGATCGGGACGGACTCCGGAGAGTACGCGTACACTTTAACGTATTAGAACGTATCCCCACGGTGAATATTGAGACATCTGTCATTTTATTTAATAATAAATCGAATACGTGCGACACTGCGTGTACTTTTGTTTTCTTTAATTTTCATTTCACCCGACACTGGGAGGCGCCAGAGAGAATAAATGGGAAGAACTGTGAACTGTACGGGGACAGCTCGCGCGTTGTCAGAACGTACCCGGAGGACGTCAGCCTCCCCTTTTCATTGCCTTGCAATGGTGCCTGAGCTGTTTAGCTAGCATGCCACTGCATCGCCCTGCGGGGGCAGCAAATACACGCATCGGCGCATATTTCGCGGAAACGCTTTGGCGCTTTCGTGCGTTGCCGACGAGCGTGTATACATTAAACGAACGATACCATCGGCCGTGTAATATTTGCTTCGGGCTTTCTCGTTTCCCCATTATCGCCGTCGAGTCCCCGTCGCACGTTGTGGCAGGGGCTGTCGCTTTCGATCGCTTCAACGATTGTGATTTGCGCCATCGCTGCCACCGCCACCGGCCCGGTCGCGCCCCGGCACTGTTATGCGCGCGTAACCAACGATCTGTTTATCTGTTATTTTCCTGCCCGATAGTCCGCAAACTAATTTCAGCAGAACGAATGAAGCAGTGTGCACACTTCTCCGATCGTCGATCTATCGTCAATGACGCTTCATTTTCTCTTCGGTGTATTTACCGAATCCTCAATTCACCTAGCTGTCGCGCGCGTTCCTGAAGGAATTAATAACGCGAGTACGAGTATAAATTATCGGATGACATCCGGTGCGCGCTTGGCGCAGGTAAAACGAAAGTTGGGACGGCAGGTAGGACGGGGGCGGCGCAAAAGCGAAAGGACTAGAGAGGTGGAACGGTTTCGTTCCGTTGAAATTATGTCCTTCCGCTCCGTGCGGAATCTCGCCGCCTCGGCGGGATCGGGATAGCTCGGGGTAGCAGGCGCGATTTAATTAAGATACGAACAATCCGGGACGCGAAGGAGGCCGCGCCGGTGCACGCTCGATGGAAATATCGGAAAATATGAGGATCGTGCCGGCGACGCCTTCGTCACCGCGTCTGCAGTTTTCCAACGGCGCGCAGTTACTGGCATCGCATAATAATAACGGGCATTCCCAGGATTGCAGTGATGATACTCGTCGATAATTAAGTCGCGGGCTGCGGCTAGTTTGTGCAGGTTTCGCGGAAGGATCTGCGATCGCTATCTGCGAACGCGTGCATGCGGAAGTGAGAAATTTCGTGGCGATTGATCGGTCGCTATTATATGCCATCATGTCGAATTGCGTGTATCGGGGATATACCGTGCTGGAATTTAAGCGAGATTCGTAGCGAAATGCGTGTGCACGCGTAAAACGAAGAGAAAACAAAGAAAAATATTAACTTTACGATATTATCTTTCTCTCTCTCTCTCTCTCTCTCTCTCTCTCTCTTTCTCTCTCTCTCTCTCTCTCGTTCGTAAAACATTGTACTTTTAATACTAACTATTTTATGGTGTGTTGTTTCAGTTGGCGCGATGTACGTGTGTATGCTGTACGCTATACTCTTTTTGAAGTTATGGTCGTACATACAAGTGAACATGTGGTGCCGTTTGGGCAGCCGAAAGAAAAGCACGCAAGGCAGAATGAGACGTCAGCTGTCTTATAATAATCTTCAGTGTAAGTATAAAATAAACGCAGCAATATAATTTCTCCATGGCTTATTGATCCAATATTTCGCATATTTTATGCATATCCATTCGCATAATAAACAATCGACACTATATACATTTACTATGCAGCGCACACGCGATGCGATGTATCACACGATTCTATTTTTATATATGAAACGGAACGAAGAACAAAAAAAAAAGAGAAATATTTTCGTCGCGTACTCAGTTTATGATTTACTTTATACCACTTCATACCATCCGCGCGTGATCCACTGCCAAAAACTAAAAATGGCCACGCACGCGTATATATCAGTTCCGACGCACGAATGACTATTTTTTACGTAGCGCGTTGCACGCCATGATTTTTTTCGTTTTTTTTTTTACGATATTACGACGCTGTAATACGGTCTCATCGATGCCGGTGGAGTCATACGGTAACGGATGGAATTTCGTTCCGGATGGAAGCCGACCGGCGTAAATCTTCGTCGTTACGCGCGTCGATGTGCATATGCGCTTTACAGATAATGCACACACGTTCAAATAGTGCAAACACGTCCTACGAATCGGTAATCCACTGCACTCGCGGTATTTGCCCACTCCTGAAGGCGCGTCGTGGCGTACCGCACACGTGTATGCGATCCGCTTACGTGTGTGTGTGTGTGCACGTGTGTGTCTGATTGTAAGAGGTACGCTTGTACCTCTTGTGTACGCACACGATGCAAAGGGGGAAAATAATTTCCACGCAATTTAAACTCTGCCGAACGGACGTGCCTATGTTTCCGGACGCGCCGTGGTATATCGATTATTCCGTACCTGACCGGCAAAGTCAAATTATACGGTCCTTCCCCCCTTCCCCTCCTCTCCAATAAACTCACACACCCCACGCGCAGTATTAACCCTTTCTCCCTGCCGGCAGTCGTATAGCGATGGTAAAACGTCGAATCAGTGCGTTTGCACTTTTAATCATGATTGCGCAATCGTTCCACACGCCATGACATGGCAAAGTTGATTGGTACGTATGTCGATCACTGTATGAATCCCGATCGCGTTCAGGCGAATGCGCGATGATTTACACGACAAAATTGTTTTATACCGAAAGAGCCGCGTCAGGAATACTCGAATCATTAAAATTAAGAATTATTAAAAATTGTCGACTTTTTTCCTATTTGCTCCCAAGTGATTTCGAAAGATGAAAAATTGTTTATTAGACTTTCGAGCATGAGACAAAGCAATTTTCTGAGTGGCCTTGCGTGTTCATGTACACGCTCAGTGCTGCCGATTACAAAAATATACGAGCGCGCGATAAGCAAGGTAAAATTCACGCTTCATCGGAGCGAGAATTTTCTGCGAGGCGATGAACAATTTCCAACTTTCCTCTAGATTTGGCGCTCGAACGGCGTTCAGGGACTCCCCCCCCCTCCCCACGCTACGTTTTGCACCGCGAAAATTAAGATGGATATTCCTCGATATGGACATCGGCGTACTCGCGTTCGGCGCGTTTCGCTCGCAGCTAATTAGCCCGTTATCCGCTCGACCGACCCGAGCCGTTCACTCCGGCCGGAGAGCGTCCTAATTACGGTGCAAAAAGAGTGACGTAGCTTGATATAATTATCGAAACCCCGTGTTCGCGCGACACCTCGACGCTCGCCGGCTCATCGCGAGGCGACGCGATGGCGACCGGCCGATCGATCGATAGACAAATGCAATCGACAAAAGCCCGCCTCGGGACTCCGTTATTACGGCCACGAGTCCGTGTAATCTAGCGCGCGCACGGACGCCGTGTAATTTTCGCCCTCTCCACCTAACTCGGACTTCTATGCCACGTCGTATTATTACGTCCTGTAATGACGACGTAGACGACCAGCCGCGGAGCCTGTAACGTAGACCCATGTATGTATCACGTAAGGTGGTGCACCTTTCGCGTTTTTGTTCGTCACGGCTCGATCGATCATGCAAGAAATGAAGCTTCTCATAGTCGCCTGCTCCAGGAAGAAGCCGTATAACATTTCTTTTGCTAATGTCTATATAGAGGTAGGCCTTATGCTTCAAATCTTACTTTAATATGTATTATATACTTTCATAAATACATCTTATACTTCAAATAAAGAATTTTTTTTTAAGTCCGAGCCAAGATTTTTCATAATAATGTATTATGTAGTAACTTTTAGTGATTGGAAACTTGCGCATTCAGTACAATAACTGCATGCCTGAGTAAATGCCATTTGGAGAGTTAGTAAAGCAAACTGAAATAAATGGAAAGGAATCAGTATTTAATTTAAACGTGTACTTTTTGATTTGGAGCAAAAGTGTCGATGTCGATGTCGTCTTAGATCCGCGTGCCGTCGAGGATGCGAGACAATTTACGAGTCTACGGAATTGCGTGGTCAAAGATCGCAGGCAATCGTATCGATTGGTGAAAGCTTCTTCTTCTTCTTCTTCTTCTTCTTCTTCTTCTTCTTCTTCGGTGGCGTCGGTGCTTAATTTGTGAGATTTCTCGTTCGAACGGCGTTCTCGTAAGGATGCTGCCTCTTCTGTCGCCTGTGCTACCTCTGCCCTTCGATATCGATTCCTTTTTTCACCGTTCTTCGCCCACCGCGCCAGTTTCGAGATATATGAACGAGGGTGGTCTTAAGCGCGAGGCATCCCTTGGCACAAAGACGAAATTACGTCGGCCCTCGAGACGCCCTCGGGCCGAGATTGAAAAAAATAGAAATTACACCCGTCGCGAACGGAAGCCCGCTCGATCCCGTCCCGTCGCGTCCCCATGAGATTTAACCCCCTCCGACGAGCACGATCCCCGACCTTCTTCCATCCTTCTGCGGCCATCCACGGACGTGATAGGAGCCACTAAGGAGATCTTGAGAGCGCAGATAGGCGGATCTTAGGCAATCGCAGAAACGCAAGGTTGACCTTCGGTCAACGTAAAAAATTCCCGCACATTCTTTATCCTTCCTGCTGGATATTACCTCCTATTTTAAGGAGAAGTTTGAAAAAAATATTTGAAACCAGATCTAAATGTACGAATATTATATTATATTATATTACATTGTATCATTTATTACATACGTTCAGGTTCTGCAGTACAAAATGTAATGATGAATGAAAGAATGTGATCCGAAGTGTGACCAAGTGTTTGAAGACATGATTTGATTATTTAGTTGATGATTTTGGTTTATGCAACGTGTATATAATTATTGCTGCGTATTATGCGTCGTTGCTAATGGTATGGCACTCTAATATATAAAGCCTTATGATGCAGCTGAGTCACTTCTCGTACTGCGAGATAAGGAACGTCATGCCCCGTCAAGAATATGTCAACGAACGTCGAGACAAAGTCTGCCTCGCTATAAACAAACCAAGAGCCTGGAATATCCTGCCGACTGTTCCGTTAACATAATTACCGAGTCAAATGAATCAGGTGGCGCTAAGAATGAATAAACTCGATTATGTTTTACTCTGAAAATGCGGTTACACATAAACCGTAGATAAACTAAAATTTAACTGATGCACCGTTTATCGAGTATAAAAATGCTTTAAATTGTATTATTTTATTTAACCGATTTAACGGAATTAAAAAGCTTTTTATTAAACGATTAATACACATAGCGCTATTAGAAACTGAGCAATATTAGCAGATGATATGTAATTTTACGTGTAAATGAAAATCGGTAAAAGATTTGAGCATTTATATAATTGATCAACTGGAAATGCTCCGAATAAATACAAGCAGTTTGTGCAAACTGAACTGCAGAGAGTGGTTTTTAATTAATAATCCGCCGGCGGAGGGTTTACTGGCCAAAGATCACAGGCTCGATCAAACGAATTTACATGGAATATTAACGAATCATTAAACCGTTCCCGAGTGCTTCTGCGTGATCGTGCACTCGTTAATTTCGTATATTTGACCGTTCTCCGAAATCACGTTGCAATTTCGTTATTTCTACCGTCAAACGTACATCGTGAGAGTCGTGACGTGCTTCATTCAAGATCGTTCTCTCTGCGCTCGTATTAATTATTTGCAACTTCCTCGTAATTATTTTTATATAGGAATGTAAACATAAAATTATATTACAGCAGATATGAAAATGTACTGTCAATTATAATTAGTGGCGATTACGATTCTTCCCCGTTTTGTGTTTTCTACGACGCCCAGAGAATTTACGGTTTTCCAATAAACAGTTGAACAGATGACTGACATGCGTCTTGCCGACAATTTTGCAGAATGTAAATATAAAATTACTATAATATGAATATAAAATTGTACTGTCAATTATAATTATTGGCGATTGATTCTTTCCCGTTTTTTTACATCGCCCGGCGAATTTACGATTTCCCGTAAACAATTTCACATCAGATAACTGATATGCGTCGCGACGTCTTGCCGACGATTTTGCCGTAACAGAAACTTCACCTTCTCGCATGACGATCCCGAACGGGAAAGAAAAAAAAGCACGCGCTACGTTTATTTCGCTATTCCAGAGCAAGAAAGAGAGAGAGAGAGAGAGAGAGAGGGGGGGGGAGGGGAAGAGTGGGATACGACAGAGTAAAAAGAGGCGCGAGGAATTTAATTTGGTCGAATTCTTCTACATTTATTACGAGGGTTTGCGCAGAACGACGCCTGTAGTCGTTCGTCGACATGGACGTCGATCGGGCGTCGCGTGAGCGGGCCGCGACTAGCACAAACTCTGGCGTCGCGACGCTGTCGAGTTCGAGCGGCGATGCAGCGCGGCACCCGGCGCAACCTGGGCTTATTTGAATTCCAGATTGGATTATTCATCGGATTTGGATAATTGAGGGGATTCTATCAGTTACTGGTTCGGGTGTCGGGGTGGGATTAGACGTGCAGATGGGAATCCGCGCGCCTAGCGCAACGCCGAGAAATTCCGAGGTTTCCGGCCGAACGGATCGCGCGAGCGAATCAGTTTCGTTGCTTAAGGAGTGGGCCTGAGAGACTCGAGAAGCGATCGTACAAAGGGAGAGATACAATCGTGAAACTCTCAGGAATTCTCTAAAAGCTTTCATTTTAATTTTACAAATTAGGATCGAGCGAGCATTTAAAACGTTAATGTTGCGAACATTTATTTTTATATTATAATTAGACTCTTTATATTATTAATAGACTGTTTTAATATTTTCCACGATTTTTATCTTTCAACCTTTCCTTCGGAAGCAAGAGTTTCTCTAAATACATTTTTATGTTATCTTTTTATTAGATCTTACATCTTTCTATGACACTTTGCCGACTAGGTGCTGCATATCTATTTACGAAAGGCAATCCTTTTAGTAAAAATAAATAACATTGAAAAATATATTTTCCTTTACAATGTCACGGTTATTTCATTGATTTCCAATTAATACGATCGTAACAGCAGTAAAACGCGAGCTAATAAAATACGATCTATCTGTTGTAGCTTCCGGTATTCAACAGAATACAAATGACGTCACCGATTTTGAGCACGAGATGACCGACCGCGGGAATGCACTGTATCCTGTACAATATCCTGACAATTTAAACTTCGGCGATCTTTATTACTATATATTGGCGCCCACTTTGTGCTACGAATTGAATTTTCCCAGAACACAGCGGATCCGAAAAAGGTGAGTGAACGATTTGCAATTTTCGTACTTTAGCATGAATTTGAGCTATATTTGTGATTTCTGTCGAAAACAGAGTTTCCACCTGTATTTTCTATGAGAGATAATCTATGAGAGACTAAGATTATACCCACCTATTATAGTTTTTTTGATAATCATAGTTGTTTGTATTTTGAGATTGATAACGGGAATAGAAATAGCTTTTATAATTGAGACATTCTCGTCTCGACCGAAATTGACTGGGATATTTTCAAAACCTGAAGATTCAGAAAAACACGAGCGTTCTAAACGAGTAATTTTTAGAATAATGAGTTCCTCAGTTATTCTTAAATGGATTTTTTCCATTTGACTTTTTGAAGCGACCTTGTTTCGGTTTACACATGTCTCGAGAATATCACCAGTTCACGTCGATCGGAAAACGAGTCAAGTGGAAACTTGATATTGTCTGAGTTCGGTCGCGCGAGCGCATACATTGCGTGAGGTGTATAAATCCGTGTTTGCTCTCAGATTTCTCGTATAGATTTCGCCATAGCATGGCATATCCCCGCGATTCTCCCTCACGTCTTATTTTCTTTCCGTAAAGAATGTCAACAAATGTCGAAGTCGCCGGTTTACGAAACTCAGATTCCAGCGAATGAATTTTGTTCTGAGAAGAAAATTTTGAGGGGATAAGAGAATTCTTACTTTGTCCCCGATTTTATCGAGAACATGAATTATTCGTTGTGAGTCGAAATTGGACGGAGTTTCCGTGAGATTCTATTTTAGAACTCTACTCTCGTTTAAGAAATTTGATTTGAATTTATTTTTAATGTGCCATTTGTGTGAATAATAATTTAATCACGCGAATGTACGCAAGGAATTTTCATGAATCAATGAAGAGATTCTTTGCTAATTCCTAACTTCCATGTGTATAATATATTTAATAATAATGTTTTACAATACCGCAAAAGTGCATGTAAATTATTAATAAAATTATTATTAATAAAATGTGAAATTATTATAGGATATTTTAATAAGGAATTTAACATTAAATATCTTCATTAAATATCTTCATAAATAATTTATTTAATGTATGCGTATAAAATTTTAATCTGGATTACCCATTTAATATTACATGTTCTGAATACTCTATCTTGAAAGATTGTATATGATAATTATTGGTTGAATCGAACTTAACAAATTGAATCGTCGCACACTTAGTATTTTTTTTCCAAGTTTGTGTTTTTGGCTGTATCGTCGTATTCGTACCGTTTTCATTGTGCGCTTTCTCTTTCTCTGCATCGTCTTCCGATGCAGCCGCGTTCGTCGAAAAGTGCATCTAGACTTTACTTGTCGCCGGCAGTTTGCTGAAAACGAAAACTCGCGCGGACGACATACCGTCGAATGGGAACGTCGTTTCACGCGATAGCACTCAAAAGTCGTATTTCCGATTTTTCGAGAAGCGGTTTATGGTCGAGAGTGCGGTTGGGGAGGGTAACGAGAACGCGGAGGTAGAAATTCATGGAGCCGGCCGGAAATCGGTTTGCGCCGTCGATAAAATCTGAGAGCAAATAGATGTGTACCAGTATAATGATCAATGTAATAGAATCACGTAGAAGCGAATTAGTTCGGACGGTCGATAAATCCGATAAAAGATATATCTTCCCATTCGCTGTAATATACGTTGCACGAATGTACATTCAGTTGCCAAAAGACAAAGTGTTACTTTTTTTTAAATTAGAACCGTATATGTATATTCCATTGTTAAAATATACAATTTAGAATCATACTGGCTACAATTTAGAATCATACACACTTACAAATTTTGCATTTAATAAGCTTTAAATGTTATTAAAATTAAATTATTATTGATAATTTCATTTGAAATAATTATGTTAAACTTAAAATCATACTTTTTATTAAGACAGAATATTTTGTACAACTATTTAATTTATTTAATATAACTTTCAGGTTCCTTATAAAACGGATATTGGAAGTCCTCGTAGGATGCCAAGTTGTGATGTCACTTTTCCAACAATGGATGATACCTTCCGTTAAGAATTCATTAATCCCTTTCAGCGTGAGTATTTTATATATTTATATTGCGTTATTTATGACATTTTCGAACAATGTTTTTTTCGACTCCTAAATTTAAATCATCACTAAATCGGCTTAAACCTGCGATGTTAGAATACCATTTTATATTTAGAAAAATCTTTTCGATAAATCAATTTTGTTTGGAGCACAGCACATTGTTCATCTTATTATTTAACCTTTATTCTCGAACAATGTGGATAATGATCTATTGATGTTTCGAACGATATCTCCTGCTTTATTATGAAAGCTAATTATTTATCGCGCTGGTCATAAATAAGTCGGGCTAACCACGGGAGCGAAACAGGACTGGTAAGATAGGGGCCGAGAGACGAGCTGAAGTGTAATTTGGTTTCGCCAAATAGGTACGATCAATCTTTCGAGTAATACTCTCGCCCGGAAATTCGATACACACAAATATACGGCAAATTCTGCGCTGTATACCCCCGAACAAACAGGTATCCACCCCGCGCGCTACCGAATTCCCTCGCGATAAAATACGCAGGAAAAAGGGAGCTGTCGCATGCGCCGCAGTTGCAGTAATATTGTTGCAAGTTACACCTGTAGGCAATATATCCGTCTGTGACATAACGTTGCATAATATCACGAGCGCGATGTAAATTGTATTTCTTAAAATGCTAAACAGATGCGAATGGAGGGAAACTAAGGGTTTCAGCGACACGTACAAAGTATATTTTTTATCGCTTATACTCGCCCGAAGGTGTGTGCCACAGATATATTTCACGATGTTAATAACTTCGTCGCGAGAATTCGCAGTGTCTCCATCCGTCGAGAGGCAACAAAACATTTACAGCGGAAACGGTATATAGCCAATTTATTTTCGTGACGGTACGCGCGCGGTGGCAGTCCCGATAAAAATAAGCGAAAGTGAGATGAAGAAGCGAAGTACAGCGCGTCAGCGGCATGTCGTTTTATCCGTTTGCGCCGCAATAATGCTCGAGGCATGCCATCAGTTTTTATCTCACACAGAGTTAAATCCTCCGCCTTGATTTGGCAGTTATATTTAATGCCTCGGGAGGATGACACGAGCGGTATTTTCGCTGCAAATATCCCACGCTATACCACTTGCAGCTGGACGATGTCCCGTCGGTGTGATAAAGGTTAAATACATTCGCGAAATCTACAATTATCACCGGTCATTTATTGCGAGTTTCGTCGCTTTTCAACGACGTCCTAATTTTGCTCAAATATCTCGGATTAAATCTTCAACCCTTTCTTCAATATTCGCGCGCAAAACTGACCAAAACCTGCGCCAGCGAGTTTATCTGTATTATATAATAATTATTTTCTTTCTGACTATAGGGACAAAATAAAAAAAAAACCATATAGAGAAATATTTTTTTCTTTTTTCCTTTATTTTAAGCAATAAGTTATAATTATAATATTATTTAACACATTTCATATTAAACAGAAAATTCTCCCCCCCCCTCTCTCTTTCTCTATCTTTGTGACAGGATTTTTATTACATTTTTCTGACAGATAATGAAAATGTAGCATGCACGAAATTAATTTAAAAAATTCATATACGAGAAAAGGCAGTTAATTAGCCAATCATCAATTGCTGCCGATGAGATGTAATAAACGAACCGCTTAATTAAATAAGCTGTATCGATAGTGGGATAGGTAGGGGGGCCAATTTAAAGCACCAATTAGAGGAGTAGCGGAGAGAGCGCGTATAGTATTGATATTTATATATACTTTTAATTCCGTTCGGATAGCTTTGATCGCACGATAACGAGGGATGCGTGGATGTGTGCCGGAACGACGGGAATTTTGTATTGTGTGCTCGTGAGAGGCCCGCGGATTTAAATGGGACCTTTTACGTGGCTGGGCTTAACCGCAACTGATCCGTGACGGGCGCGTTCGCGGTTTACCAGCTACGCCCATATTTCCTATACATAATGCTATCGAAAATCCGGATCTTGCCATCGATCCCGCTGGAGCTACTAATAATTCAGCCATTCAGATTAATGCCGACTGCAGTGTGTTTCGGGTAAAATTGCAAAAAAAATTCCTACGCGCGCAAACGCGGTCTGTATATCCGATGAATAATCGGAGTCGGCAATGTTTACCGTATGTTTACTGCACTTCTTTTATTGGGAGTTTTATACGATACAGAAGCTGGTAGGGTAAATCGAAAGACGATTAATTTTTGATTAAATTTAATCAATCCAGGATGCTTTCTGATTTGCAATTATTTGTGCAAATACAATCAAACAAGTTAACAAAGCGCGGATCGCAAACAAATGTAAACGCTTAAAGCATATTCAGACCGGAAATTTCAATTTTAGCTTTCAGCGTGATTAAAAATTAATTAAGGTGTTTCGCATACATCTCGCATAATTAAAATAGCTATAATAAAACAAATATATACACGGATATGTCAATAACGTTTTCATCTGTTAGTTTGTACAAGCGTAATTAACAAATAACATTATATATATATTTTTTTTTAGTAAAACGCGCTCGTATCATTATCGGAGGATAATCTCTTTGATGCGCCTATTGTCGATTCGGGAATACTGCGTGTTCACGTATTATTTACAGTCGGATGCATTGTTATACAGAGAGACTGTTCCTTTCCATAACGGCGCTAATCGGTACCCTCCGCATATTTGCGATGAGGCAATCCAACAGCGGGCGTGTTTCCTCCTTGACGTCCCTCGCCGCGTTTCGGCGCAGGATTATTAAGCGTTTCTATCGTCTCGAGAATCGGGATCGACGCGAGCCACTCGGCGGGAAACCCGGTCCTGGGAAATCCGGCCGCATGATTTCGCGCCGCGGACAAATTGCTTCTGCAAATCGTTTGACGCCCCCTCCCCCGCCTGCTCTATCCGCTTCTCCCTCGTCCTCCCTTCATTTTCCAAAGAGACTCGAAGGAGAAACGCTTTGCCCGGACGCACGCCAGAAATACCGTGTGGAAATACCGAGGCGACGGCGGCGGCGGTTCCCTCCGTCTTCTCACCCTCCCTCCCGGTGACGGTGGCATTCGAGATCGCGGTATCGACCGAACGCAAAGTAATTGCCACTGCAGCTAGTTGCAGGGGAGTTAATGTCGCGATAGGGGCCACGCGGACGACAAGCTATCCCTTCGACCGTTTCGATCCGCCTCCAGGTTCGATCGCTTCGGCGCGCTCGTACCACGCGCCATTCTTTTCTTCGTTCGGCGACAAATTGGATCTGATAATTGCGAGTCGCGATTACGACAGTCACGTCGTCGATCGGGCGTCTCCAGCTGGCGCTGAGAGACGAGCGCTCTCCGCTTCCCTCGATTTAGCACGGCGCGGTCTATCACTGTCGCTTGACGCGGATGTCGAGGCGGGAGACGACGAGGAAGGAGACGCCGAGCGGGGGGAAATTGTGAGATTAAGAAATCTACGTGGATATTGCTTTCGCCGGATCGCGAGTCGCGGAGGGAGAAAATTGATAACTGCGGATGATGCTTGTCGGAGGGTAATCACTTTTTACTGGCGTGCTCCAGGCTGAGCCTCGTTATTCTTACAGGGCGGAATGAATGGATAAGAAGGTCGGCACGGGCCGCGCCGCGCCGCGCGCGACCGGAAATCCTCGCGATTTCCTCTGGCAAGTGGGCGATTAACCCCTCCAGCGCGCTGAGAAATCCATCGTGCTTGCGCTTGCTTAGTGACAGTCTGTGCTTCTGCACGAATAATTTTTCGCGAATAATATCTCGCTCGCTTCAATTACGCTGTCCGTCTCTTACTTAGCTTTTGCTTACCACTCCCGTTTCTACATTGTTTCTTACCAATTCGTTTAATCTTTTTATTTTTGACTAACGTCTTATAGATTTGTTTTAATACCGTAAATGCGATCTGTCATGCGATTCAACGATGCTATTTATCACGAATGATTATTATGTCACGAAAATACAAAGAAACTACCGCTTCTCCGTGGCTTTTGCCTATGGAATTGTGCGGCATTTCGCTTTGCGGATCGATTGAACGATCGAGGAGGAGTGGTGGAGAGGGTGCAGCGTGCTTTGGCTTATCGGCTCACGGCGTAGCTGCAGCTTAAAGGGATGAGCGTTTAAAGGATTTTCGGGAGTGCGTCGCAAGTGGTTACTGCCTCGAGAAGCATGCGGCTTTATAGTGGTTACGACGGAACATATGAAACGTATGAAACGTCGTATCGATTTTCTAATCGCATAATACGCGCTATGCTCTCACGTGTACATATTTAATTTAAATTTTGTGTAATAATATTGCACATAATTACATTTTACAGTATAATTTAATTACTTATAGATTCTATGACATTTTTTAAAAATATAAAGGCAGTGGAAGGTGAGAAAGGAGAGAAGGGATTTTTCGAGAAATGTAACTCTTCGAGAAAAAATTTTGTATAGAAAATTCACTAATGACCATTTTTAAATGGATCGTATTTTAGAAAAATCTACGCGCGAATTTAATATTCTTTTATCTCTCTATTTTCTTCTGTGTATCTAATCTCGCTAAGGTACAAGGGTCAAGACGAATTGGGAAAAGTTGCACGGCATGCACGACGTTCGCCTATTGCTCATTTTTCCTTCCGTCGGCAGGATTCCAGATACTTGACCAACGTTGTCGAGGCGGAATTCGCGGAATACCAGAGGGCCGGAGGGTCGCACCTTCTTGTATCGAAGTCGCCGATATGCGTTCGCCGGCCGGACGAAAGTCCCCGCTCCGAGTTATGACGCTGCAAAAATTCTTCCGATCCGCCGCGATAGGCAGAGTAAAAAGAAAATGCCGTTGAGGCGGCGGCTAACAAGTAAAATCGCTGGTGAGACTGCACGTGACTCACAAGAATCGGATTTTCACGAGGGAGCGCGATCTCGTGTGCTTTTCGCCTCGGTCTTCTTTTAAGCCTCGAAGAGATTGTGCGAGTGGATTTCGCGTTTTAATTTAAGCTTCTTCGTCAACATTTCAATATATTAAATTCTAGGGATTTCGTACTTCTTCGACTAATATT